CTCCCTTCCTCTCTGTAAAAAAAAAATCAATAAAATATATATTAAAGGAGGGGGTTTATAAGCACCCGAAGGTCACGTAGGTCACGCTCGGTGACACTGTGCACCGGGAAGGCTCTGTGAACGCTCCCAATCCTCAGCCCCACCTCACGGGCAACATGATCCATCTGTCATCTGACTAATGCTGGGGCGAAGCAATGTGGACACTTTAATCCCAGAGCTCAGTCATCTTGACTCTCACGACAGCGTCATGTTGTTAAACTTTCTTCCCTCACTTGCTCCTTTAGCCTTGCGTTTGGGGGATTTGCGGTCAGCAGAAAAGGCGCCCGTGTGCAGGCTGACACTTGTCTAGCTGCCTGTCTCCCACTGGGCCGCAATTCCTCTTTTCTTTTTTTTTAAAATATATGTTTTCATTGATTTCAGAGAGGAAGGGAGAGGGAGAGAGAGATAGAAACATCAATAATGAGAGAGAATCATTGATGGGGAGCCTCCTGCATGCCCCGCACTGGGGATCGAGCCCACAACCTGGGCATGTGGCCTGACCGGAATCGAACCGTTACCTCCTCGGTCAGAGGTCGATGCTCAACCACTGAGCCACACCGGCCGGGCCACCCAATTCCTCTTTTCAGCCAAGGGATAATTGTTCTCAAGTCACAGACTCATCAGGGTTTTATATGCGGTAGTACATGAAAAGGATCCGTACAGGGTAGGCCTCAATAAATGTAGGTTTCATTGCCCTTTAACCTGTTATTTTTCCGCTTGCTGAGAAAATATAACTTTCTGTGGGATAAGATAAGTAAGCAAGCAAGAATATCTAGTTTCTATTACCAAGTAACAAGTAATCCCAAATTTTAGCATCTTAAAACAATCAGTTTCTCATTCATGGTTTTGTGGGTCGGAAATTTGGGAAGGCTTACCTGGGCAGGTCTCGCTGGGGGTTTCCCAGGCAGTTGTTGGGTGGGGCTGCCATCATCTGAAAGCTCGACTGGGCTGGATGTCCAAGAAGACGCACTCACTCGGCTGGCAGCTGATACTGGTTGTCGGCTGGGCGGAGCCTGGGACTGTCAACTGGACCATCTACAGGTGCCTGTGCATCATGGAGGCGTTGAATTTCTTACGTGGGGGCTGACTTCCCCACCAGAGCAAGCATCTCAAGGGGCCAGGCCAAAGCTTCATGGCCTCTTAGACCTGGTTTTATTTTTATTTATTTTTAAAAATATATATTTTATTGATTTTTTCTTTATAGAGAAGAGGGGAGAGGGATAGAGAGTTAGAAACGTCAATGAGAGAAAAACATTGACCAGCTGCCTCCTGCACACCCCCTACTGGGGATGTGCCCGCAACCAAGGTACATGCCCTTGACCAGAATTGAACCTGGGACCTTTCAGTCCCCCTACTGGGGATGTGCCCGCAACCCAAGGTACATCCCTTGACCAGAATTGAACCTGGGACCTTTCAGTCTGCAGGCCGACACTCTATCCACTGAGCCAAACCGGTGAGGGCTAGACCTGGTTTTAGAAGTCACATAACATCACTTCTGCCCCACTCTATTTCTGGGAGCCTGCCCAGATCCGAGAGGGGACGTAGACCTACTTCTCCATGGAAGGAGTAGCTTCCATGTAGATTAGCAGGTGGGATGGAAGATACCGAGGCCATCTTGGGGAAATAGGACGTGACATCCCCCCTTCACAAGTTTGTATGTAAATTGGGGCTTTTATCAGTTAGGGTTCTTGCTCGTGAACTCCAGAGGCTGGCTCTGGTTAGCTTAAGCCAGTGGTTCTCAACCTTCTGGCCCTTTAAATACAGTTCCTCATGTGGTGACCCAACCATAAAATTATTTTCGTGGCCACTTCATAACTGTAATGTTGCTACTGTGATGAATCGTCATGTAAATATCTGATATGCAGGATGGTCTTAGGCGACCCCTGTGAAAGGGTCGTTCGACCGCCAGAGGGGTCGAGACCCACAGGTTGAGAACCGCTGGCTTAAGCAACCGTTTTTGGAAGGCCTTGTTCACAAAAGGTCACTGCCACCAAGCCAACAAGAGTCCCCGATCTGGAGAGACTTAATTCATATAAACAGTCTGCAAATCGAGGAAATGAAGCCTCCACAGGAAACTGAAAGTGTGTTCCCCTGAGACAAAGGGGAGGCCCGATAATACAGAGCACATGTCTGCCCTGGTCCCTGATTGGTCCATTTAAGTGCAAATGAAGGATCCAAATTTGCATCGTTTGATTGGTCCGATTCGCACTGTCCTGATTGGTCAGAATCTTGAGTCCTGACTGGTCATGATGGAGTCGCTCTGATTGATCAGTAAAGATGCAAATGAGGGTGAAGCTGTGCTGCTCCCATTGGATGAGGCAGGTCTCAGCCCATTGGTCGAAATACAATCCCAGGAGCACCTTTATAAGGGTCAGCTCAGACAGCGGGGACCTGGTGCAGGAGGCCTGGCAGCCCCGTGCACAGTGCATGAGGGGTCCTTGTAAACAACAGCTGTAAGACTCTGATTATGAATTAGGGCCAAGTTACCCACAAGCAGTCCTTGCTGACAGGTATATTCTTTGTGGGGTCAACAGCCTTTAAGGTTCACAGAGCTGATAGAGGCTGGAAGGCCAGGATTGGAGAACAGGTGGAACCCTGGAGTTCTGGAGGCCTGGGCAGTAGGTACCCCCACCAAGGAGGAAGCACAAAAGCAGAGCCCGGCCTGGCCGGTGTGGCTCAGTGGCTGAGCATCGACCTATGAAGCAGGAGGTCTCGGTTCGCTTCCTGGTCAGGGCACATGGCCAAGCTGCGGGCTCCATCCCTAGTGGGGGGCGTGCAGGAGGCAGCCGATCCATGTTTCTCTCTCATCATTACTGTTTCTGTCTCTCTCTCCCTCTCCCTTCCTCTCTGAAATCAATAAAAATATATTTTAAGAATAGCAGAAAATGGACAAGAGCTCAATCCTCACGGGCACGTCTGTTGCTGCAGCAGGTCCTGACCGGCCCTCCTGCTCCACGGAACCAGCCCTCCAGGAAGTCTGCCTTGGCTGCGGTGACGCCCGGACCATCGTGTGCCGCTGCCTCCCTGGCCGCCCAGCCTGCCTGGTCCTACAAGGGCAGCAGCCCTGAGCGCAGGGCTGGGCTCGGGCCCACCCCACAGACGCGGCTGATTCAGGGTCTGTGTTTGTGCTCAGGATTTCCGCAGGGGCTCGCCCAACTGTGCCTGCCAGGCCATGCCCAGGCTCCGGGGTTCTCACCCTCATTTCTTCCTTCCTTGGAGCCCAGATCTTCCTGCTGCATTTCACCCAGTGTCCTTGGTTTTCTCCCCAAGGTTTGCAAAAACTGGTGAGGCCCTAGCCAGTTTGGTCCAGTGGATAGAGCGTTGGCCTGCAGACTGAAGGGTCCCGGGTTCCACTCCCCGTCAAGGGCACATGCCCGGGTTGCGGGCTCGATCCCCAGTAGGGGGCGTGCAGGAGGCAGCGATACATGATTCTCTCTCATCATTGATGTTTCTACCTCTCTCTCCCCCTCTCCCTTCCTCTCTGAAATCAATAAAAATATATTTAAAAAAGAAAGAAAGAAAGAGAGAAAGGAAGGAAGGAAGGAAGGAAGGAAGGAAGGAAGGAAGGAAGGAAGGAAGAAAGAAAGAAAGAAAGAAAGAAAGAAAGAAAGAAAGAAAGAAAGAAAGAAAGAAAGAAAGGAAGAAACAGAAAGAAAGAAGGAAAGAGAAAGAGAACTGGTGAGAAAAGTGGTCTCTTTGCTCCATAGTTCTTCTAAAAAGCTGTGATTAGGCCCTGGCCAGTGTTCCTCGATGGTTAGAGTGTCAGCTGTGCACCAAGGGTCTTGGGTCTGATTCCCGGTCAAGGGCACGTACCTGGGTTGCACGTTAGATTCCCCAGCCCGGTTGGGCATGTGCAGAAGGCAACCAATCGACGTGTCTCTCTCACATCAATGTTTCTCTCTCTCCCTCTCCCCCTCCCTCCCTTCCCTTCCACTCTCTCTAAAAAATCAATGAGGCCCTAGCCGGTTTGGCTCAGTGGAGAGAGCATTGGCTTTTGGGCTGGAAGGGGCCCGGGTGAAGGAAGGAAGGAAGGAAGGAAGGAAGGAAGGAAGGAAGGAAGGAAGGAAGGAAGGAAGGAAGGAAGGAAGGAAGGAAGGAAGGAAGGAAGGAAGGAAGGAAGGAAGGAAGGAAGGAAGGAAGGAAGGAAGGAAGGAAGGAAGGAAGGAAGGAAGGAAGGAAGGAAGGAAGGAAGGAAGGAAGGAAGGAAGGAAGGAAGGAAGGAAGGAAGGAAGGAAGGAAGGAAGGAAGGAAGGAAGGAAGGAAGGAAGGAAGGAAGGAAGGAAGGAAGGAAGGAAGGAAGGAAGGAAGGAAGGAAGGAAGGAAGGAAGGAAGGAAGGAAGGAAGGAAGGAAGGAAGGAAGGAAGGAAGGAAGGAAGGAAGGAAGGAAGGAAGGAAGGAAGGAAGGAAGGAAGGAAGGAAGGAAGGAAGGAAGGAAGGAAGGAAGGAAGGAAGGAAGGAAGGAAGGAAGGAAGGAAGGAAGGAAGGAAGGAAGGAAGGAAGGAAGGAAGGAAGGAAGGAAGGAAGGAAGGAAGGAAGGAAGGAAGGAAGGAAGGAAGGAAGGAAGGAAGGAAGGAAGGAAGGAAGGAAGGAAGGAAGGAAGGAAGGAAGGAAGGAAGGAAGGAAGGAAGGAAGGAAGGAAGGAAGGAAGGAAGGAAGGAAGGAAGGAAGGAAGGAAGGAAGGAAGGAAGGAAGGAAGGAAGGAAGGAAGAAAGAAAGAAAGAAAGAAAGAAAGAAAGAAAGAAAGAAAGAAAGAAAGAAAGAAAGAAAGGAAGAAACAGAAAGAAAGAAGGAAAGAGAAAGAGAACTGGTGAGAAAAGTGGTCTCTTTGCTCCATAGTTCTTCTAAAAAGCTGTGATTAGGCCCTGGCCAGTGTTCCTCGATGGTTAGAGTGTCAGCTGTGCACCAAGGGTCTTGGGTCTGATTCCCGGTCAAGGGCACGTACCTGGGTTGCACGTTAGATTCCCCAGCCCGGTTGGGCATGTGCAGAAGGCAACCAATCGACGTGTCTCTCTCACATCAATGTTTCTCTCTCTCCCTCTCCCCCTCCCTCCCTTCCCTTCCACTCTCTCTAAAAAATCAATGAGGCCCTAGCCGGTTTGGCTCAGTGGAGAGAGCATTGGCTTGCGGACTGAAAGGTCCCAGGTTCGATTCCCATCAAGGGCACATGCCGGGTTGCAGGCTGGAGCCCCAATGTGGGGCATGCAGGAAGCAGCCGATCCATGAATCTCTCTCCACCATTGATGTTTCTACCTCTCTCTCCCCCTCTCCCTTCCTCTCTGAAATCAATAAAAACGTATTCTTTTAAAATTACGTTGCTATGAAAAAAGCTCCCAGATTTATTGGATTTCGAGTCCTGCCTGCAGTTGCCTGGGCAGGGCCAGACCAAATGATACGGCCCGCGGGCCTGATGTTCCCCACCCCTGACTGAGGGCAAAGACATCAGTGCCCCTGACTAAATAGTCAGGTACTGCACGTTGTAAAGGTTCTCGTGACACGCCGGTTGGAAACCTCTGGTCTACATCATGGAGGCCAGCCCAGTTCTATTTATGACATCTTCCCGAGGACTTGCCCATTCATTCCCACATGCAAATAAGAGCAGCCGATTCCTCAAAGCACCCACTGGTGATGATGTCATCCATTCCATGAGCTGGGCGTCACGCCCACGAGCTGCCTCAGAGTCATCTAGCCCGCACATCCCTCCTGAGGTGGGGATGCCACTGTCACGCCATGGTATGAATGAGGGAATGGAGGCACAGAGAGGTTAAGCAGCTTGCCCAAGCTCACCCAGAAGGGCTGGGGCTTGAACCCTGGCTCCTTAGAGCCTCTGTGTCCAGGTACTACATTACTACATACCATGTTCTTCTCCTCCTCCTCCTCCTCCTCCTTCTTCTTCTCCTTCTTCTTCATCGTCATCACCCGAGGAGAGTGGAAGAGAAAGGGAGAGACAGGGAGAAATATCGATGTGAGAGAAACACATCGATTGGTTGCCTCCTGTACGAACCCCGACCAGGGCCCGTGCCAGAGACGAGCCTGCAACCGAGGTATGTGCCCTTGACCGGAATCGAACCGAGGACCCTTCAGTCCGTAGGCCGACGCTCTATCCTCTGAGCCACATCGGCCAGGGCCCATGTTCTCCTTGGAGT